GACGTGATGGGCTTACTCGCTACTAGCATTATCGTCGACATGGTGTGCCCGCTCCTTGTTTTTATCGCGATTGCGGTTGTACTAAAATTTATTTACTCTGTTCTTATTATTCCGGTTATAGCTACTATTACGGTTATTCTTACTATTCCTATACTCCCTTTTATTGGGTATTAAATTCTTCTAGAAGGGTTTAATCGCTAGCTTACTATTAGTATCTTTATCTTTTTACGAAGAATAAGTAACGTATTTAACGAAAGGGTATTGCTTAGCTATTGCGGTTATAAGGATAGCCTTAGCTTCGTCGATTTCTTTGATATAGTTGCCGAGGGAGCCGTGTTTGGGAGGCTTTAGGTAGGTTTAAATATAAATATCTATTTTAGATTAAATTTAAATTATTATTCCTATTTAATTAACCGATTCTTTGCCTAGAATATCTATTGCGCGCGCGTAGCGTAGCTGCTTCTATACGAAGTTAAATAGGGCGTTTTTATTAGCGGCGACGTCCCTTAAAGTAATAGATCCTTTAGTAAATTTTTTTATTGTAATAGCGGGGTTAAGGGTCTATTTTTTAATAAGCGCGTTAAATAAGTCTTCGAGGGTACTACGACGGAGAACGCGCTTGGTCTCTAGGGATACTTCTATATTCTATTATTTTACAACGGGACCGCCTAAAAGGACTTGGAATATTAATATTAATTATCGCTCGGTTAATTTAGTAGTAAAATCGTCTTTAGTAAAGGATTTAAGCCTATTAATAAAATAGAAAATATTTATATAAATTAAATTACGTCCGTTTATAACTATTCCGAAATCTTCGGAGTCTTCCTAATAAGGGTAAAATTGTCTAATTTCTTCTTACTTTAATTTAGGGTCTGAGCCGTACGAACCGGACTATAGTTCGCGGGATAAACAGTCTTTATTGAGAGGACAACGTAATGGACCCCGTCTATTACTATAATTATCGTCCGGGTCGTTATCGTCGTCTCTATTATTATTAGGGTTTCCTCCGGTTCCCGTATATAGTAGGCCGCTTCGAAGTAGACCTGTAGAGGGGCCGCCCGAAGTGCCACCATCGTACGCCGGTAAATTTAGGTTCTTAAGGATAAGATGTTTATATTCGCCGGGTATATAGAGAATTGGGTACTCTTCCACCCAATACTAAATAACCTACGGTATAAGAATAGCGAATGTAGGGTTTCGTTCTATATTTTAAATAGTCCTATATAGTTTATTATAGAAAATATTATTAGTAGTAACTTAGAATAATATTATAGCGGCGGGCCTAGTAGCGGGCGAAGTTAGGTCGATAAGAGGCGCCTATTGGGTAATAGCCTATTACTAAGTATTAAAGCCTTAATAACCTTATAAAGTTATTATAATTAGAACCTAAGTATTTTATTGCAATATAATTACCTATAGCTGTTTGGCTTACAATAGTCCGGTAGTAGATTTATACTAAGGTACCGCCGATTACTTACTCTAATAAGAAGGAATTATAGTATTTTAAAAATTGCAAATAGAGGCCTTACTCTAATTTTAGAAAGGGGGAATAACCAATTGGACTACTATCAAACGTAAAGGACTTCTACGCATTAGGGTCGGAATTCCATTTCTACTTCTATTTTCCGCCTAAAATAATTTATATTTAAATAGTTTTATCGTAGCTAGTAGGAAGCCCGTTACCGCTAAATACGAATTATTACGTTCGGGAGAGTTAGAGAATCCTAAAAACGGTCTAAAGGAGGCTTAGCCGCCCTAAATTGAATTCTTATAATAAACAACAGTACCGGTACCCTTTAAATTATTAAATAGGGGGAAGGTATTATCGTATTGTTTATTAATGGTTTCGGGGCGGTAGGGGGAGAGTTAATAAAAATTGTATTTATATAATAGCAATACGATATTCTTTAATAGTTTTAAAATAAACTCCTTTATTACATTAATTATAGTCTTAGTTAAATAACTTTAAATTGTAGGTGTGAAACTACTGGGTTGTACATTTGTAGCGGATAGTCTCAATAAAAAAGAAAAGGAGGATAAGTAATAAGTAGAGTAATTATTTAATAGCTAAGCCGGCGGTAGTACCGGAGTACAATATACTAAGAGATTGTCCATTTTGGTTATTATTATATTAAGCGTATTGTTAATACCTTGTTCTATAGCATCCATCCTTAATCCTATATTTTAATATTTCTAATTGTTAAATTTACTGAGATTGCTTAGGGCGGTTTCAATATTCCTAATATAATTAGTAGTTTCGTTTATTTTAATCCGTAGATAGTCGGTATTACGATTAATTCTTCGATATTAAACGTCTTACTCGAATACGTTCCTATTAATCTTATTTAACGCGTACGTTATAGTTTCCGTATTATTATTAATTTTTTTAGGTATAATAGGCGTGGGCGGTCGGATAGGATCGAGCTTTCCTTCGCCCTAGGGAGGTAAGCTGATGGTTTTAGATTCGCGGCCGTTTTCTTTACTAGTCGTCTTTAAATTGGTTTCGTGCAAGGTTTATTCGTTAATTAATTTAGGGTTAGATTCGCGAAAGACCTACTCGCTAATCAACTTGGAGCGTATGTTTCTTGCCAAAGTTCGAAGATTGCGGGGTATTATAGATTGCTTTGAGGGTGGTATTATACCGGCGTTAGATTTTGCTCTACCGGGCGGGGAGCCCTTATTAGGTGGTTTATTTAGTTATTAAAACGCTATATCGGTCGATAATCTTAATTAATTTATCGACTTTCGGTTATTAGCGCTTAGGTAAGAAATAAAGCTAAGTAAATATAAAAGATTAAGAATGCCTATTATTTACCTAAGTTCGAAAGTAGGGGGAAACCTTTCGTATTAAGGGTATTTTGTATTCGCTTACTATAATTCAACGATTTAAAAGCTTCGGTTCTAGGTAGTAGATCGCGTGAGAATTCAAAGTTCGTTAGGCGAGGTGAATATCGTTCAGCCTACTACAACTCGGCTGATTAACGGTGATAGGGAAGCGCGTATCGCCGTAGTCTACTACAATTCGACCAGGCGGTAATGGGTTGTTGGAGGTGGGGGAGCGATGTAACCTATTTAAATCAATTGTAATACGACACTTTCTAATCTACTATAGTTCGATTGGATTGTGGGTTTCTGTGCGATTTATTACGATTCGATCGATAGAGAGAGTTGAAAAGGTAATTGGATTAAAATTGTTGTAACTACCATATAATATGGACTGCTTCTGCCTTAAAGAACAACCCTGTAATTAATATGTAAAAGTAATGATATTATTCCTGTATAAAGCGTGATGTAGAAGGAAGAATTAGGAAGAGTGGAAGCCGTATACAGATGGATTAATATAATCTATTTAGACGACCTACTTTCTTTATCTTATCGCCTGGGTCTGCGCTGCAGCCGAGGCGGCAGTGCAGTCCCGGCGCCCCACATCTACGGCTCGATTGCTGTCTTTGGTGCAATACTCTACATACATGAAAATGGACCGTATCAATTTTTAATAGGTAGGAAGGGAGTAAGGATTTTTTTCGAAATAAGTAACGCTCCTAGTATTTTTGTATACTACCCGGTAGTACTTTAATCGTTTGCGAATACCTACTTTATAAGCTTGAAGTAGGGGAGAGGCTTATTCTTAAATTGGACGACCTCCTTATTCTTCTATATAGCCGGGTTAATATATAAAGTCCGAATCCTAATCCCTTATATACTAATTAGTATAGTATATTAACTTTAATTAGTAAATTCTATATTTCGTTAGATGTAGTTGCAGCGCTGGTATTTAGATTAAATTTAAACCCTAACTGCGAGTATTTTTTTAAAATTATTTACGTTCGCTATTTACAACGAAATAAATCGATTTTATTATAGATTTAATTATTAGTAGGCTTAATATTAAAGCGCTTAATTATTTTAGTAATAAAATTATTATATATTTAATCTTTATAATTATTCTAATTAATTACGCTATCGCTAACGATGTTTTTTAAAAGAGTGAGTAAGTGAACCTCCTACTTGCTGTCCTATATTTAATTCTTGGTTATAGTATAATTCCTCTTCTTTTTTTGGATTTAGTAGGGAGGAGAGTTCTAGCTATAGGGGAATAGGTAGTATTAGTTAGAGGGTAGTTGGCTAGAGGGATATTGACTGCTTTGTAATAGCGGTTGAGATCCTATGGTTTGGGATTCCTTCTGTGTTACTAGTTGAATTTAATTGTTATTTATTTGGGTGTAAAAGTAGGCGGCTATTGTTTTTGAAAGGATAACGAGGGAAAGGGATAGTTAGGGCAAGCAACGAGGGTACTATAGCGAGCAATAACACCACGATTTATATACCGGTTCAAATACGACGATTTCTGTTGATTTCTAGCATTTCTATCACATTCTGGAAATCCCCTCACGTAAATGCCAAAATGTGGGTCATGGCCAGGTTACTAGGGTGGTATTGAGCTGGCCTGTGCGTGGCACGTAAAATCGATTTACTGGCCACCTTTACTGAGCTATTTACTGCTGTATCGGACACCCCCTAAAGCTGTTAGGTCCCCGTATCGGTGTGACGGCAGCGGGTACCGAGTTCAAGCTCAAGGTAACCTCCACTTATGGTAGGTACCTTGTCGGCCAGACCTTCCCGAGCCTGCCCCGCCCTAGGATCTTGAGGTAGCCCCAAATTCGGTTTAGCCCCTAGTTATTACGCCTTACGCTGCTTTTCTTAGTGCACTTGTGCATGGATCATCTCGGCCAATCAGACGATGCAATTGTGCAAGCGGTTTTGGGTGGCGTCTTTTTTTATCATCAGTTTGTTGAGTGAGTGAGGACCCTGAGGAATAAGAAGACGATACTTGGTGACATGTCTCTTCGAGGGCCTCTCTGAAGTCTCTTCTGTTCCTTTGATTATCTCTCCAGCCTATACAGTTTTTTTTTTTTTTTGGGTGTTTCATAGACCAAGACATTCATTTGTTTTTTGGTACCTTTCAAGCCTCAGGCGTCTCTCACTTCAATATCAACAACATGTCTGCTCTCGAAGCCATCAAGTATTCCCGGGGCAAGTTGGAGGTCCTGGACCAGCTGAGACTCCCTCATGAGCACCACTACGATGAGGTCTCCACCAGCGAAGAGGCCTTTGACTGCATCAAGGCCATGAGAGTCAGAGGTGAGTTTATGCAAAGCGCTACTCTACACAGTGAAATCAAGTGACATCTGTACTGAACAACAGACCCCAGGTGCTCCCGCCATTGCCATTGTTGCTGCTTTGGCTGCTTCTGTTGAGCTTCACAACGGCAGCTGCACTGTGACCGGCACCGAGGATGTCATCAAGTACATTGACTCCCGTCTGGACTATCTCTACGAGTCCAGGCCAACCGCCGTCGATCTTGGCAACGCCGTCAGATTGCTCAAGAAGACCGTTCGCGGTGTCAAGACGGAGGGCCTGACGGACGCTGAGGCCAAGGAGGCCATCATCAAGGCCTTCGTTGAGGCATCTGAGGAGATTCTGGCCAAGGATCTCAAGACCAACAAGTCGATTGGTGCGTTTGGTGCCAAGTGGCTTCAGGAGCAGTACAAGATCACCGACGACAGCAAGATCACTGTCATGACCCACTGCAACACCGGCTCTCTTGCCACCTCCGGCCACGGCACCGCCCTCGGTATTATCCGTACCCTCCGCGACGAAGGCCTCCTCAGACACGCCTACTGCACCGAGACCCGCCCTTACAACCAGGGCAGCCGTCTGACTGCCTTCGAGCTTGTCCACGAGGGCATCCCCGCCACCCTGGTGACCGATAGCATGGCCGCCGCCCTATTCCGTCTGCGCAAGGCCGAGGAGAACATTGCCGCCGTTATCGTTGGTGCCGACCGTGTTGTTCGCAACGGTGACACTGCCAACAAGATCGGAACGTACCAGCTTGCGGTCCTCGCCAAGCACCATGGCATCAAGTTCATGGTTGCCGCCCCTACCACCAGCATTGACGTCGACACCGAGACCGGTGACGATATCGAGATTGAGCAGCGCAAGCGTGAGGAATTGACTCAGATCAGCGGCGCTGTTGTTAACGCGGATGGCTCCATCGACACCAGCAAGTCTGTCAGAGTGGCGATCGCTGACCAGAGAATCGGTGTCTGGAACCCTGGTTTCGATGTCACTCCCCACGAGTACATCGATGCCATTGTCACCGAGAAGGGTACCGTGGTGAAGGGAGAGGATGGCAAGTTCCACTTCGAGGACTTGATGCCTGAGAGATTCCAGTAGGTATACAAACACATAGACCTGGCGGTTAGACTTGGCGATATGGTTTCGGCGTTGAGTGGCAGGCGTAGGGCATAGATACTAGAAAATTCAGGGTTTTGATGCTTTATTGGGAAAGAGATAGAGAACGCATGATATTCAACACTTGAGTCGTAAGACTCGAGTATGCTGTGGGTTCAACCAAGGTCGGTGTGCTCGGGATTCAAAACACCGTTGTCACCTGGAGATGTTTGTTTACTTGTCTTGTCTTGGCAGGGCAACGCAGGGGTCGGCGATTGGGGAATCCCCCCAAACAACGCAGGCCTCTCCACTCTTCTCCAAAGTGGAACGAAGCTCTCCCGCTGCCGCATGCGGACCCGGCCGGGTGTGGGGTTCGACATTCGCAATTGCGGTCACAGCTCGCGACTTAAGATGGAAATATTTGTCTTTTGACTTCCAAGTTTCCATCTCAATACTTTTTTTTTTCTTTTTCTCAAGTCTCCTTCTCATGGACTACCGCGAGGGAAATACCCAGCAACGATGAAAGCAACATCGAACCTTCTCCTCCTTTGGGGCACCTCCCTTCTCTCCCACACCTCTGCCTTCGTCATTGATAACAACAACCATTACCAACAACAACCACTCATCGTCGATGATGCTTCCATCTCTCCCCTCCAGATCTCTACCTCATCCGCTGCCAACGATGGGCCATCCTACCGCAAGAACCTCCTCTCCCTCCACAAATCCCTAATCGAAATCCCTTCCATCTCCCGCACCGAGCAAGAAGTTGGCAAGTTCCTTCTTGACTACCTCCGTAACAACCTCGGCTACGTAGCCAAGGCCCAATTCCTCGAAAGTGACAAGACTTCCCACGGTTCTGACGGCGATGACCATTCCCAAGGGCGCTTCAACGTGCTGGCCTGGCCCAGCTCGCACAACCTGTCCAGCCCACGCGTGCTAGTCACCTCGCACATCGATGTCGTCCCGCCCTTCATCCCTTACCACATCAACACTCCTGAGGGCTCCGACCAAGTCACGTCCGACACCTTCATCAGCGGGCGCGGCTCCGTCGACGCCAAAGCCAGCGTGGCCGCGCAAATCGTCGCGGTCGAGGAGCTCATCCGCGCCAAGGAGGTCGACCCGGCCGACCTGATGCTCCTCTTCGTCGTGGGCGAGGAGATCAGCGGCGACGGCATGAAGACTTTCTCAGCCGCTTACAACGATCAAGACGCTGACAAGAACAACAACAACAACAACAACAACAAGAAGGAGTTGCCCCGGTTGCATTTCAACGCGGCCATCTACGGCGAGCCAACAGAGAACAAGCTCAGCTGCGGACACAAGGGCCACGCGGGCGGGTTGCTCAAGGCGCAGGGAATCGCGGGTCACTCGGGCTACCCGTGGCTGTTCAAGAGCGCCACCGAAGTACTGGTCAAGGCGCTCGCGAAAATCATTTCGGCCGACCTAGGCAGCAGCGAGCGCTACGGCAACACGACGGTGAACATTGGTACCATTGCTGGAGGCGTGGCGGCGAACGTGATTCCCAAGGAGGCGCAGGCGAAGCTGGCCATCCGCGTGGCGGCGGGCAATCAGACGACGGGCGCGGATATCGTGAGGGAGGCGGTGGAGAAGATCTTGAAGGAGACGGATGCCGAGGCGTTCACGATGGAGTGGAACGGCGGGTATGGTCCCGTGGAGTGCAATTGCGACGTGGACGGGTTTGAGACGATGGTGGCTAGCTATGGGACGGATGTGCCCAACTTTGAGGGTGACCATGTTAGTTATTTGTATGGCCCTGGAAGCATCTTGGTGGCGCATGGTGATGATGAGGGGTTGAAGGTTGGCGATTTGGAGACTGCGGTGGAGGGGTACAAGACGCTTATCAAGCATGCCCTTGCTGCTTGAAAATTGTTGGTGTTTGATGGGTTTATGATTATGATGAGATATGGGTTATGTAGAATGTTGGGTATGAGAGTATGCAAGCGAATGGATTCCCGAATTGTCTTCATTATTTACATTTCATCATAGATGGCACGCCAATCGCTTAGGGTATGTACGCACATGTCTTGTCAAGCAAAAGTCCATTGATGCGTACCAATATTCGCTATCGGTACGTTTTCTACCTCCACGAAAAGTTCAAACTTCAATCATCATCACCCATCTACCAACCTCAATCAATACCCACACGCTCCCAGCCACTTCGGTCTCTCCCCACCGCCCCTCAACTCCAACCCCATCTCAACCGCATCCAACTCCTTCTCCCCATCAACAACACCCTTCCCACCCTTCTCGCTCTCAATCAGTTTCCTCCTCGCCCGCTCAATGACTCCCACCGTCTCCCTCGGCACCGCCAACCCGGCATCGAAACCCCTCACCTTCCCCCCTTCCCGCTCATCCCCCAACAACCCCAAAATCGCCAGCCCAAAAAAACTATGATACAGATCCGGCGGACTCCCCGGGGACTTCCCAAACCCGCCAATCCGGTGTTGCATCTTCTCCAGCAGAAACCGTCTGGCGGCTTCTCTGTCTACCAAAGAGTCCAACCTCCCCAGGTTGGCGAGGGCGCCGCCTACCCACCAAAAGTAGCACGTGTCTGCTACCTTGTTGGTGCGGCCGTTAAAGGCTACATGGGTTTTGTCGTGGCCTTTCTTTTCGGCGATTTGGGACAGGAGGCAGAGGAGGTCGGAGGGGGTTGGAGGTAACAAGAAGTTGGGGTCGTCGAGGTCGTCTTCTTGGTAGATGTAGGTGTCTGGGTCCTGGTCCGCAGAGGGGGGAGGCGGTTCGAGGTAGACAAAGGGGCGAGAGGCGAGCCAGTGGATGAGGCCGGGGAGGTCACGGATGGAGGAGTGGAGGAGGGGGGATTTGTGTGGTACAGAAGAAGAAGTGGATGTGGTGAGAGGGCGGTCGAGGAGGGTGAGGGCTGCTATGGCGCAGTAGGCGTAGCCGGCGTGGGCTTCGTCTTGGGAATTACCGGCGAAACCGCGGTCGTATGTCTAGGGGGTGTTGTTAGTTAGTGACCCCCGACACCAGTAGACATGGAGGAAGTGAAGTCAAGTGAAATGAAGTGAACACATACCTGACTATTCAAGATATACCTCGCCAACGCCTCCGTGTCAAAATCCTCCACCCACCCTGGGCTTCCCTCCTTCACATCCCCTCGCAAGATCCACCTGATGGCCGTAGCAATATAGCAGTAGCGCATATCATAGCCGCCAGCAATAAACCGCCCGTGACCCGGCAAATCACTGAGCGCCTCTCCGAAACTTCCATCTTCGCGCTGGAGACTCTTTAGGAAACGCAGCGTCCCCACCCGGTTCACGCCCTCAAATACGTTTTCCCCCGCCGCCTCATCCTCCTCATCCGCCAAAAGGGCCAGCAGTTGCAGAGCGAACAATGTGGAGGTGATGTTGGCCAAGCCGGCATGATCTGGCTCATCCAAAGTTTTGGTGTCAAAGTTATATATGTCGTAGCTGTGAAGCGGGAAAACAAGCGAGGATGTGCCGCAGAAGCCGCCGGTGGGATGTTGGTGGTGAAGAACCCATTTCCTCATGGCCCGCTTGTCCTCGCGGCTGATAAGAGGTTCTGGGGTCTCGGGCGTTCGTTCTGAGGGGGGCGGGGTTAGGAGGGTGACTGAGTTGACGATGAAATAAGCCAGAGCCAGGCGATTCGATTCATTGGAGAGGTAGACGTGAGGCAAGGGCGCTCGGATGCACATCTTCCAGTATCGAAGATGTCGGTGGACGTCGAGGTAGGGCCATTCCTGCTCGGGCTCCTCGTGGGCCTTGTTGTCGTTTTCCATGGTGAGTGTGAGACGCACACCGGGCGACTCCAATTAGATATTAGATCAAGAGGGTTACCTAATTACTACGTTATACAATCTCAAGTCTCATGTGTGTAAAGATGAAGGCGAGTGAGTGTGTGACGCTGGTTCCAGGATGATGATGTTGTTGTTTATGAATGCCGTCCCCCTGAATGAGTGAGTGAGAGGTCAACAGCTCTATCGATAACAAAGCTATAGCTGTACCCGACCCCACCAGGCCATCAAGGTGGTGTGGAAATGGCATGGGGCAGCTGTATGCAGAGGGTTAGGGTAGTGTAAGCTCAAATTAGCTCTACGCTACCGTACAATACAGTACATCTCTCTGCGATACAAGTGCCGGACGTGGGAATGTTCCAGCTTCACAACCACTCAATTGGTCCTTAAAAAAGTTGAAAGCTGTCTTTGACACAAGAACATCTCTCGTTTTGAAAGGACAACAAACTTCTACGGCGCACGAAACAGCGGACATCATACGTCCCGTCAACGGGCTTCCAGGCATCACATCCGTCTGCGCAGCATCCAGCATCCAGCATCCAACGCCCCCTTTACCGCACGCAGCCCAGCCCAGTACCATCCATCCTGTCAAGAAGCCGACTTTGTTGAATCGCGACAGCGAACCCATCCGTCACCATGGGGCTCATATCCGCCAAAACGATTCTGACCTCCATCTGCCTCTTCCACATCACCCTCGCCTTCTTCTTCGTCACCAATCCCGCCACCATTGCCGACCAGGGCGTGGTCTGGCTAATGGGAGAGGCCATGGGCCTGGTACGTTTTCCCTTTTCCCTTTTACCCCCCTTCCATCCGCTCTGCGCAATAACGATACATGATGCTAACCTTTGTATCTTCCTCTACACAGCCTCACTCCCGCCACTTCGACACGCAATCCCCCACCGCCGCCTTCCTCGGCATCGTCCTCGGCCTCTGGGGTCTCACCGACCTCGTCTCGCTCTCCATGCCCGAGGAGATCGCCTTGATCCACCACTGGGGCTCGCAAGTGCCCCTGCGCCTGACCTGTTCCTTCTTCTTGACGCTCTACAGCTTCTTCTTCTCGGCTTCGTCTCCGCTGTATGACTCGGCCACCCCTTCGGGAGGAAAGTTCAGCCACCCGACGACGTCGTCTTCGTTCGAGAGCCAGTATGCGGCCAAGGAGGTCGCGGGCGATTGGGGCTGGGGAGGCGATGCGCTCAAGAACCGCGTGTTTTTTACCTTCATGTTTGTCGAGACGTTTAGCTGGTTTTGGGTGTACTTGACGTTGAAGGAGGAGCAGGTGGATATTTTGAAGAGGGCGGCGCAGAGGAGGGAGAAGGAGAGGGACAGGTTTTAAAATTGGAGGAGAGGGATGGGAGATGGACGTTACGTTATGCGGGGATTAGATTTATCAACCGAGGGGGAGGCTTCTAGGATATCAAAATGGCATTTCTTGAATCGGTTACGGCTGGCTTTCTGGGCAAAGCTTCTGCATATTGGTGACAGGCACGAAGGCAGAGAGTGGCGGGATCGGCAAACAGCCCGTCTCGGGTTGTCAGTTCCACACTACAGGAAAAGGGGACAGGAAGGTTGAATACGCGAATTATACAGGAGCTGCCGCCTGCCCTTGATAAGCAACCGGTCCGGGCCATCCAAACTTTCATAACGGCCTCATGGCTGTTCAACTGGTTTCGACCAGACTCTTGAACATAATGACACCGGATTTGGGTCTGGACTTGGAAATCTGTCAAAGTTATCACGGTAATGTAGTACCTTTCCTTGAACCTGGATACTATAAATCACGGAGGAGTCGTCCGGCCGGGCCTTGGAAAGTCAACTGAACTGCGGATCTGGAACAGCATAATCGACATAACTTCTGAAGAAGCTGCTCGTGTAACGAATGAACTAAGTTTGAGATGATGTGGCAAGTAAAGGTTACAGCATGAGACAAATATTATTTTCTGCTGGATGTTAACTTGATCGGTCTGATCGTCTGGGCTAGAAACGCGGCTGGCGACGGAGCTTGTGGGTATGAAAGGGCGCTTCTAATCCAGACGAATAGTCTGCTCTTCAAATCTAACCTTCACCCTTTGAACTTCCCAAGTCCTGCAAAGTCTATGTCATCACCACAGTATATACTATAAGACAAGATTCCTGCCGCTGAAGGAACAGGATAGTGACTCTTCACTTCTACCTTTAACTGCCAGTCAACAAATACTGCTAGAGAGAACACACTCTACGAGGTGGGACAGTACCCTTTTGACCGTCGGTGTATATACGACTGACTGTCCAGCGCCATATCTACCCGACCATTGACATCTTGGCTCATATATTTTGATCCGTGACCTGTACAAACACTCTGCTCTCCGTACGCCTTCCTTGCCTTGCGGTATGTGATCTCCCTCAAATAATTTGAATAATAAATAACCGCCCAGATTCAGGGCAAACACTCGTTAAACCTGCCACATAACCCAGTAACAGTCCCGTACGCCATACACCGCCCATAACCGTCCTTACATTTTACAACCATATCTCCCAATTGAAAACATTTTTAACAGTTAGCCCGTCCACCATCACCACTCAGTAAGGCGTAAGCCCCCCTTCACAGAGCCTGGACACTCTTAAAGAACGGATTCCCCAACAACCTTTCATCCTTCTGTACCAACTCCTTTAACCTCGCCACCATCTCCTCTTTACTCATCTTCCCACTCTTCACCTCATCCTTCCATTTCACCAGTACGTCTTTCAACAGCGCACTGCCCTCCTCCACGTCCTGCTTGCTGTACTGAACACCGAGACCACCCCCGTTCTCCTCGTCATGCTTGCTGGTAAAGTCCTCTAGCTCGTCCGCCTTGCGCTTGGCCATGCGCACCACCTTGTCTGGGAACCGAACCAGCTCGGCGACGTGGATACCGAAGCTCTGGTCGCAGATGCCGGGTTCGACCTTGTAGAGGAGGGTTACCTCGCGTTTCTTTTTTGCCTTTTCGTCTTCGTCGGTGACATCAGCGTCGGTGTCAGTGCCGCTGATGTGCGCTGTAACGTGCAGGTTCTTGACGTTAGGATACTGGTCCGCCAGCGCCGTCAACTCATGGAAATGGGTGGCGAACAGCGCAAAGCAGCCGATCTCCTTGACGATGTGCTCCGAGATGGCCCAGGCGAGACCAAAGCCGTCGTACGTCGATGTACCGCGACCGAGCTCGTCGATGATGATCAGGCTCTCGGCCGTGGCCGACTTGAGAATGTTGGCCGTCTCCAGCATCTCGGCCATGAAGGTTGACACGCCCTTGAGCTGCGAGTCGGACGCGCCGACGCGGGCGAGAATGCTGTCGAAAATGGTTAGTTCTGCTGATGAGCAGGGCACAAAGCAGCCTATTTGCGCCATGAGCGCGATCACACCAATTTGTCGGATGTACGTCGACTTGCCGCCCATGTTGGGGCCGGTGATGATGAGGAAGGACGAGTCCTCGCGCGTGAGGGTGACGTCGTTGGTGATGAAGGTTATGTCGTCTTGGACTTCCATACACGGGTGGCGGGCTTCGGTGAGGACGGTGCGGCCGGTTCCGCGAGGGTGGATCTTGGGCCGGACATAGGAGATGGGAGCGTGGACGGAGCAGTGCGCAAAGGAGACGATGACGTCGAGGTGGGCGAGAACGGCGGCGAGCCGCTCGAGGACAGGGCAGTATGAGGCGGCCACGCCGACGACTTCATTGACGAGACTGCTTTGGGTGCGGTTGTAGTTCTGGGAGAGCTGGTCGAACTCGCGGCGGAGGGCCTGCAGGGTCTTGGTGGTGAAGTAGACTCCGTTCTTCTGGGTTGAGCACTCGAGGTAGCGCGAGTTGTTGCGAATGCAGCCAGCCTCGGTGCGGGTTAGACGCATGCACCAGCCGTGAACCTTGTGGTTCTCGAGGAAGATCTTCTTCTCACGCTCCTGGCCGAGATCCTCGGCGGCTTCGGCAAACTCGTTGTCCATGTCTGTGCGAAGGCGGTCGAGCTTCTTGCGGATGATGCGCAGGCTATCGTCAAACTCGGGCTTGATAATAAACTCGTGGTTGTCGAGGGCGTCAAGGTCAACTGTGGTCTCGACCATTTCCTGCAGCTTAACGAGGCTGTCTGAGAGCTCGCGGAGTTTGTTGGTGTAGACCTCATCAAGAGGGTCGCGGTAGGCTTCATCCATCACGCCTTCGAGAGTTCCAATAAAGCCGGGCAGGCGTATAACCACTTGATATGCCCTCACAACGTCCTCTAGTGTTGCTTTACCACGCTGGAACCGCTTAGACAGCCGATATAAGTCAGGGATGGATCGAAGATGTTCCTCCTGCATCGACTGTCGGAGCTCGGTGTCGTTGGCAAAGGCCTCAACCAGTTGCTGGCGCTTCTCAATTTCCTCGGCATTCATCAGGGGCTGCTTGAGCCATTGGGACAGTAGTCTGCTTCCCACAGGAGTCTTACAGTGGTTCAATAACCCATACAGACTCATGTTCTTTGCGCCATCTCTAGCGCCAGGCATGAGGTTGAGAGCTTTTAATGCTGCCGCATCCAGCTTCATGAACTGGGCCAAGTCATGCTGGTACAGTTGATACTGGCCAAAATTGGACGGATCATGCAGTATGCCTAGGTACTTGATCAGGGCCGAGGCAGATCCCATGGCGAGTTTCAAGTCGGTTTGTGGGAGCAAGCTGGCAGCGCGCTCATCCTTCAATAGCCGTGACAGATCTTGCTCGATGTCCTTGGTGCCGAACTCGCCCGCCGACCTCTCTGCTATGGCAACACGGCAGTTGTCGATGATCTGCCTCAACTTGGCCAACTCTGGGTCCTTTTCCTTCTCGCCCTTGTCCTGTGTGACGATACACTCCTTGACGCCTAGTTGAATGAGCAACGCTTCGAAGTTGGAATATAGATCATTGTCGAGGAACTCGCTGACTCCCAGTTCCCGCACACTGGCATCGGCAAAGCACACTCCCACTGTTCTGGCTTCCGAAGCCTTTGCCGAGATTTTGACCGCCAGGATGACGGGCGCTCCCTCGAACTGGCCACCTAGTTCATCCTCCACGTCCTGCAGGTTTCCCGGAGAAGCCTGCTTGACGACCTTCCAGTTCATGCGGCCACTGGGACTGGCCCATATCTCGATTCGCTTCCCTAGCTTGAAAAGGGCTTCACGCAGAAATTGTCGGAATACGGTAACGGTCATGGTAACTGATGGAAGGCCGGTGTGGTCGCTGCGACCTAGCTGGCGAATGACGGATGTTGTCTTGTAGACGGTTCGGGCAATAAAGGTGGCATCGTCGCCGTGAGCTGTGTACCAGTCGCCTCTGTCGAAAATCCTGATAGCCTCTTCGCCAAGTTGTGGCAGAGACCTGTAGAAGCGAATGAAGCCATGCTCGTCGTCGACCTATGGACATGAACTCAGATGATTAGCAAGCCGTCGATTATGGTCTTTCCACATGGGAGCTGTTGACGAACCTTGAGCTCTGGTCTGGAGGACATTTTGGCCAAGATAGGTCGCTGAAGTCTCGTCCGGTACTGTAAGGTGGTACAAAACTGGCGTCTCCCTGTTGCTTACCGGCACAAGTTCCACAGGAAGAACAGTGGGAGGAGGGCCGAAGGTGCAGTGGTGGTGACACCAGGGACTTTTTGCAGAAAGATGATGCTTGGCCTCGGCTGCGTAGGTGTCTTCCTTGGGAGACGCGCCTCAATTAAAAGAGATGCATGGGGGACGCGTCTAGGCGGGCAGGGAAGGCCCGGGGGGTTGCCTGGCTGTCACATTGCCGACAGCGGCCTTTAAATCCTTTCCCCACTTAAACTTTTAGCTCGTCGCCTTCTCCAATTCCCAAATCTCGATTATCCGCTTTCTCTTTCCATCTTTGTCACCGAACGAGATGGCGGACCAAACCCCCCAAGTCGCTGTGGCCCAAGCAGAACCTCTAGCAGACACCGTATCGACAGCTAATTCAAAGCGAAAGGCGGAGGAGCAGCTAACAAAAGAGATGGTCGAGCAACAACAAACCGAGCAGTCGGCTTCCAGCAGCAGCGAGGAGCAGCAACCGACCGAGCAAACCACAACCACCACCACCACAGACAACGCTCAAGAGCCACAACAACAAGGAGATGGCGACAATGTCGATACCCAAGCAGCCGATGGCACCCCCAAGATCTCCAAGAACCAACTCAAGCGTCTCCGCCGCCAAGCAGCCCACGAGCAATTCCGACAAGAACGCAAGGAAAAGCGCAAAGAAAAGCGACACCAACAACAAGCCAAGAAGCGAGCCCTCAAAGAAGCCGTGGTAGCCGAAGCCCAAGCGGCCGGCCTGGACCCAGAGGAGGCTCTCAAGAAACTGTGCAAGGAGCCGTGGGTGGCGC